ACTTGCTGATCATCTTAGCAGTCATGCAACAGTGAGCTTGTCAGGAGGAGCACATCGGTGACTTTCTCCCTGAGACAACCTGTACATTGACTGTGTTGTTGGAATCAAGCATCGGCCTCGTTGTGCCAGTATGACAGCGTGAAGATAGATGCGAGATGGAACGAGGACGAGGACGAGGACGAGGACGAGGACGAGGACGAGGACAAGGACGAGGACAAGGACGAGGACGAGGACGAGGACGAGGACGAGGACGAGGACAAGCACAAGGACGAGATGATTGGGAGCAGGAATGAAGAAGAGTTGAGGAGAAGAGTTGAGATTAAGATTGAGAATCATTGCGACGACAACGCATAGATGAATTTCATTGTGATAGGGCACTTTCAGGCACTTTCAACCTACAATCACGTTTCCAAATCCATGTGGCTGGAATACGACATCATCTTTGTATCAGGTTGTTCCTGTTGGAATAATTGCTCCATCTTTACGTTCTGGATGCTAAAGAGACAAGCGAATCGTTGAGATCGTGCGAAGGTACAGTCTGATTTGATCCTTTCCTTGTTGATTGCTGCATGTTGCATTGTGGTATTTGATTTCATGATGCGCAGATGCAACTGTACATAGCCAGCTCGTCTTAGATGGTGTTGTTGTGGCCAACACAACAGGAACGCAAGTGAAGCATGACTTGTGAACATTTACGATTATGATTGTTGCTCTTCAAGGTCGGAATTCTTGTTGAGGGTGTTGAACTCGGACGACATTGGATGAAGATTTTTGTTGATGAGATCGAGAATGTTAGAAACTCTCACTAGTGTCTTTCAATCTCACTCAGTGACCCGTCAGAATGTTGAGTTTTTCCTTCCGTGGCACATTCACTTTCGCATCGTCAGCCCACCGAGCAGAGCCTTCTTATCCTTTGAGGTACCTTTGTTGATCGGTAGAGCTATACTGATTGCAGACATAAGGATAACGACAAGTATTTGAGTGTTTGTTTCTACATGATTCATGGATATTTACAAGAGGACGAAGTTTTCAAGGAACTTGATGGTACAACTGGTGAGAGGGACAGCAATGCTTGTCCCAGATTTGCATAACTCGATCAACAGTGGTTGTAAGCGTTGATGGAGAGAAACAAGTTGAGCTGGCTTCAGCTTCAACCTCTGCAATTCATGTAAGTTTTGTTTGATGATGATGATGATGATGATGATGATGATGATGAGGAGGAGGAGGAGGAGGAGGAGGAGGAGGAGGAGGAGGAGGAGGAGCAATGATGATGATTTTGTGATGAGACGATGATAACGATTATGGTGTAGCCGACATGTGTAGAGCTTCCGTCAGAGAAGTTGAGGAGTGCCGGAAGACATTCGGTCATCATGGACAACCGCACCTGCAACATCTATTTACATCATTTGTTTTGCATGTCAGGTTGTTGTCGAGCTTGTAGATCAAAGAGGTAAATTGGCTTGTTGCCTTTGATAACCTCTATGTAATGCAATCTTTACTTTTGAAAACAAATCATGAGTGGGACACGATGATAAGGGCTTCTGTATTCCCGTGTTTCTGGTGTGATATGATATGATATGATGTGATAATATTTGATGCGATGAGATGTATCGTGATTTGTTGGCCTGACTTTGCTACCGAGATCTTGAACTTTCCCTGACCTGATTGCTGTAGGTCAACCTCTTGGACCAATTTCTTACACACACCTCCTGGGCTCTCCTTGCAACGAGGACGTAGGTTGTAACTTGTCTCGAAGTCCTCCTGACGAGTTTCAGTGTGCAGATGGTTATCAATGGATGATGACGATGATCGATCAAGTTTCTTCTCTCCGACCAAACTGGGATTCAGAGATAGAGTTGAAAGTAACCCTCCTCCTCCTCCTCATCATCATCCTTCTCCTTCTCTTCATACTCCTTTTTCTTCTCTTCGTACTTCTCCTCCTCCTCTTTCTCTTCATACACCTGCTCCTCCTCGTAATCCTCCATGCACTTCTCTATCTCCGGCTGCTTCTCCATCTCCTCTTTCATCTCCTCCTCGTTCTCTCGTTTCTTCTTTCTCTCAAATATTCCAGCTCTCCTCCTCCTTCAACTTATCCTTCGCCTGATCACCTCTTTCTCTGCTATTTCCTATTCTATTTCCTCTTCATCTCCTTCACACGAACCTCTTGTGCTGTTTCTTCTTGAATGTTCTCCTGCCCTCCTTATGCTTGCATCTCCAGGAATGGAAATCGATGTCAGGACATGGTGTTTACATTAATCCGAGCGTTTTCATCACAAGAAAATCTGAAAATGACAACGACGGTAGCAGCAGCAGCAGCAGCAGCAGCAGCAGCAGCAGCAGCAGCAGCAGCAGCAGCAGCAGCAGCAGCAGCAGCAGCAGCAGCAGCAGCAAGAAACCAGTTTGGCATGTGATTTTCAGGTAAACAACAGACGCAATGTTCACGAGAACCGTGTTGATGATGGCATCCTTTATCACAATTATCATGTTAAACTTGATATGAGAGCATTGTCATATTTTCCAGAAATCACAAGAAGATATTCCCCCTGAGATTTGTGATTTGTACATGTCTCATCCATGAAGGAGACTGACATGAAGATTGGTCAACGTGGATATGAAGAGTTTGTCACATTCTCTCTAGGGAACATGAATTGACAACCCCTGGCCCTCTGGGATATCAGAAGAGACTCACGCCATCAATACAGGCGAGTGAATTTTCCTCGTCCTTTTCCCTGCCTGCGCTCTTTCCTCCTTCACTATTCTTCTTCCTCCTCCTCTCCTCTGCATCTCCTCTACTCTCCCCTCTTCCTTTTCTTCCTCTCCTCTCCTCTCCTCTCCTCTCCTCTCCTTTCTACTCCCTCTCCTTTCTACTCTTCTCATCTCCTCTCCTCTCATCTCATCTCATCTCCTCTCCTCTCCCGTCCCCTCCTCTCATCTCTTCTCATCTCCTCTCCTCTCCTCTCCTCTCCTCTCCTCTCCTCTCCTCTTCTCTCCTCTCCTCTCCTTTTGTCTTCTCATCGTTGCTCTGCTTTGCTCTTCACTGCACGTTTACTCATTCTTCTTGCTTCATCGAATGTTTTTCCAACAGTGGCACACAGAGCTGCTGTTTGACGATCAGACAAAACAACTCACACGAGATGTCAGTCGAGCACTAACAAGGCAATGAAACATCTTACTGACATCTCAAATGTCTTGACATCTGGTATCAGATTGAACATCTCTTACTCTTCTGTTCCATCACAAGAGGGCTCGCAAGGTCCGCAGGATGCCAGAGTCTTCTCGGTTGTGAACTTATATGACGTCTTCAATTACTTGCTCCCCTCCCCTCCTATCCCTTCCCTTCGCTTCTTCACTTCTCGTTTCATCTCCTTTCTATGTTTTGTTTTCTCCATTCCTCACCTGCACCCTCCTCTCTCGGCTCCTTTCCTCTACAGTCCTCATCCTTCCTCTTGTTTTCATCTTCCTCTTTGCTCTCTTCTTTGCTGCTTTATGCTGTTCTTTCCTCCCTTTCAACTCGTCTTGATTACTTCTTCTCAGTTGTCCAACGGCAAACAGTTTCTTTGGTTTAACGCAAACTCAAGATGGTAACAATTCGTGGCATTGTTCCTTGCTTCCATTCCACTTGCATGCATTCCACTTGTTTTCCCCATTTCCTGATCTCATCCTTGTTTGCGTATGTTGCCAAAGGCATGATGTTTGTTCAGTTTGCTCTCCATCTCTTTTAACAAATCCTTTCAGTCTTAACTTCTTTCAGGTTGCCGTCTAGGGTCACTCAACAGCTGGTGGCGATTAGCCTGCAAGAAATTTCAGAATCATCGAAAGAAGAAGGAGGATCGCAAACGTTTGAACGAGAATTGATGTTGTCAGATGTTGTTGAAGTCAAGCTCTCAAAGCAGGTAGTCCCTTGCATGGCCTTTGTTGTCGCAAACACAATGCTCTGTTGTTGTGTTCTTCCTGCTGCAAAGCAACCTTGAGAAATAATGTATAATCTTGCATCAGGTGTACGAGAAAAACTTTGTAAGCTTCTCAAGTATCAAAGGCATGCAGTGACTGTTGCAGGTTGCTTTCGAGCACAATCAGAGCATCTACTTCGCTTACTCCATGTATCTCCCTTCCTCTTGTCTCGTGTCTTTCTCAAATCTCTTTGCTAGAGAACCACACGAGATCTATCATCTCGATCCTGAAAGTGGAGCAGTTGCGCATGTGAGAACAGATTGTGCCTTGTAGAAAGATGACATGTTTGTTAGGTTGCAACCAGCAGCAACCAGCTCTTACAGGAGTCCATCTCCAGAACAGATTTGTGGCTGCATGGAGGTCAATCTGAGCTTTTGCTCCTTTTTCATCCCTTCTGTGTCCTCGAACTATTTTCCTTCCCCTCTCTCTCTCTTTCTGTCTTTCTCTCTATCTCCATTTCTTCTTTCTCTCTATCTCTCTCTCTCTCTTCCTCCCTCTTTATCTTGTTCTCTATCTCCTCTCTTCCTCTTTCTCCTCTCTCTTGCCCTCTGTTCAGCCTCCTAGCAATCTTGTCTGTCCCCCTGTATTCCTTCCTCCTTGTTCACTCATCCGCTTCCTGCCGTTGCATCTCCCTCGAACCTCTTCATCTACTGACGGTGCATGGGCTAGGTTCGGCAGCGATCCAAGTGAAGAGAAGAGGAAATCTAGAATTTCTCTCCGTATGTCATGTCAAGCAACCAGACACTGAGATGTAAATTGAACAATCTCACTTCTTGTCGTTTTTCCTTTTCTTCCCTTTGTCTCTCTGCGTGTGTTCTTCTTTCTTCACATGTGTTGTGGCAATCAGACTCTGCTCGTATCTCTATCTTGCTAATTCTCCTCCCTCCTGCCTTCTCTTTCACGGTCCTCCTCCTCATATTCTATCTCCTTATTGTTCTTTCACTCTTTCCTATTTCTGATCAGCTTTCCATGTTCTTTCATCGTTCTCACTTTCAATCGTAGGTACTTTACCTTCGCGTATACTTTCTCTTCTGCTCCTCCTTTTCAAATCTTATCATGGTAATAAGCTCCTCCTCCACCACCACCATCACAATCACCTCCTCCTCGTCCTCCTTCCTTCTTTCCACCTTTCCTTGCTTCCCAATACGCCTCAACCTCTTCCTTTCTCTTCACCCTTTCCCCGTTTGCACTGCTTTAATTGCTCCCACTTTCTTCCTGACGCCTTTCAAGGTCTCCTAAGCTTCCTCTGCTCGGACGCATTCAGATGGCGATGTCTCTTGCTGTCCTCGACGACGAGGTGTCTCCTGCTAGCTCGTCCCACACGCTCATCATCATTATTTCTCCTCTCTTTCCTCCTCCTTCTCCTCCTGGTTCTCCTCCTCCATCTCCCCTTTTTCTTCTGCATCAGCATTGTCACTTTCTCCTCCTCCTTCTCCATCACCGTCATCATCATTCCACTCCTCCACCACCACCTCTCCCACCTCATCAGCCCATCGATCAGCTGACCTTCATCCTCATCTATTTGCATGCACTCGATGCATCTGCCACAGGAGCTGATGATTTCTTACGGACGTGAGTTGGTTGTAGATTGCAAAAGAGAAGCTGACAGAAACTGCAGGAGACGATAAGGAGATGAGAGTCGTGTCTTTCAATCTTCCTGATTTCCTTCATAACATGCAGGACATCTCAGGGCTTTTATCAACATCCTCATCACTGCCATCTTGATCTTTACTGTGCTTGTCGCTATACATATGAAATTGAAGATTCGGGGAAGGAAAATATGCGTAACCACCAGACTTTCTTTAGTCATTCTTATCTGTCTTGTTCCTTCCGAGACAATCCGGATGTGATTAAGCTTTCTTTGGCTTGTCATGTGGTTTGAACCTGTCAGCCACCTGAAGACAAGAAAAGTCAGCAGAACATGATACAGGGAGCTGAAAACCCACCATCTCGATGATGATGCCTCCGAACACCATGAAGCACCCGGTCCACTGCATCTGGTTCAATCGGTTGTCTGTTACAAGAAAACTTCAGTATGTCAACACGTCAGCATCCTTGAGGTGTACCTGGGTTCCTGAAGACAGAGTAGACAGTCGAGAAGATTTTCCTGCTCTCTTGTCATCTTTGACGCTGCAACTGAGGTGAACGGAACCTTGTGGTGGTGACCGTGGAGAGGAGAAGAGGTCCAAACTCGGTGACGGTGAAGTAGATGAAACACTGGGAAACACGCACATCACAACTCCATCTCCCGATAGTTTGAGCAGGAGGTGTATAGTATACAGAAGAGTAAGGGAGTGAATACAGAAACTTTGACTATCACAATCATCAACAAAATCTTACCTGTCCCACAGCCGAAGAGATGGAAAAAGCAGAGAGGGCATAGATAAACTCCTCGCTGCGCTTGCAGAAGTCGATTCCTTCCTGAAGCTGACCAGTCGCAACACAGAAAGCCAGCGCGACAACAGCTCCTGTTGTGACAACCGAGCGATTCAGAGGAAGTCACATACACAGTTCCGGCCGAACCAGCAAGGTTGGTGTACATCATTGACTCGAACATCGAGGGCTTTGCCTACAAGAGCGTCAGCCATCATGTTAGAACAAGCAGGATGGCAACCTTGGGGTTGTTGTTAAGAGTCTGTGCGGTCTTCTTCACACGATCCTGTGGTTCACAACAGCTATCAGGAGGAGACGGGGGAAGGAAGCAAGTTCACCTGCAGTCCTCCAGTGACTCCGTCGAGAACAAGAGACAGAGCAATCAACGACAAGCCATAGGCCGAGTCAGACCCGCCGCCCTTGCCTGTACTTCAACGTCAGATGCGGCGACGAATGGCTGGCGAACAAAAACTCCATGACCTGGCTTTGCGGGAGCTCCGAAGTTGAAGATGACAACACCAGCTGTGACGGTGATAACCTGAGGAGATGAAGTCAGTCACATTCACAGCCCCGGTGATCATGACGCCATCGTCACCTGCAGGTATGTATCCCACCCGTACTTCTTCCCGCCGATGAGAATTCCCATCAAGAAGACAGGCACCATCTTGCAAGACTTCCCCAGCACCTGAGCGAGAACATGAGACACGTTGTGAGGAGGAATCGACGATCTAGCTCAACCTGAGTAGGATAGCTGACATATCGGAGGGCCTCATTCGACGCCGCCATGGCCAACATTTGCGAGGCACCACTGACGGAGATTTCCTTGATGGGGATCTGATGCACAACAATGCTATCAGGGGAGAGAAGAAAGATATCAGCATGATCAGAGATGTATATCAACATGAGAACATGAATGCAGTTGCAAGGCATTGACGCTCACACGCACTTGTCACCTTAAGGTTCGATCCCCCAAAGATCAGCAAGAAGAAGAGAGCAACAAGCGCATTGGCTCCTACAAGACTTTAGCGTCAGCGCTCATCATGCACAACAACTCAGTGCTCTTGACCTCTCTCTGCAACCATCATGAAGAACGTTGCCTTGAACTTCTGTCCTGCATACGACTTCTTGAAAAGATCCTCCTGTGTCCGAGAGCAATTCAGCCGATCATTGCAGGCTGAGGGAAACGGACCTGAAGGACTGCAAAATATCCGAATGATCCGAAGATACCAGCAATTGCCTGCAAACGTATTCAGTGGAAAATCGAAAATGGATAAGCCGTCGGCATACCAGTGCTACTTTCACCGATTGCATTGCTCCTTTCGATTCTGGTTTCCCAGACATCTGATAGACACGTTCAGCGACAGAGCCTTTGTCGGGATCCTCTGCAAAACAATCTTTCCTAACTTGCAGAAGCTCTAACAACAGAGTGAAGTGAATGGAGGGAGGGCATGCGAACAAGCCTGTGCTGGCATCGACGAGGAGTGCTAGGGACGCAGCGGAAATTTTACGAGGAGGAGGCAGAGATGGACAAATGTCACGATTCATTGCATTCAGCTCGTGTTGAGCAACGCTGCGAGTTCAGCATGAGGATTGGGTGAGTGTAAGGAGGACAGGAAAGGTGCCATCAAGCCATCCTGGGGCGCTATAGCTGCATTGCGCTGCCTCTGACTTGGGGTTGGTTGAAAGTTCTCCGTGGGGGTACCTACTCTATTTGATTTCGACCGGATCCTTCTCAGAAAAAAAAGTTTTGGTAATTGTTCAGTATAATTCCAAATTATTATCGGTAACTTGAAACTTAAAATTCATTTTGTCATCTCTTCGGTATTTTCTTGCTCTCCAACAAGGGGAGACGCAACAAATCGAACACTGATGGCAGATCGAAAAAAAAATAAATGACTACCCCAGCATTAGCCTGAGTATGAAGAGGTAATGTCGGGGTGGGGTTACTGCTGTGTTTAAAAAATAGTAAGGTACACGGTAAACGTCAGTACATAATATGTGGTACAAAGTCTGATAATAGATTAATAGTTTTGTATATGAATATTTGTGACACGTTGTAATTTGATTATCTCTGTAAGATTGATAATAGGTGGTACAAAAATAAATTTATGAAATATATATTAAATGAAATATAAACTTTAAAAATGCGGTTATTGCAATCATGTTGCTCATTCAGCCCGTTCGGGGTGAGATCTCCAACGATAAGGTCGAATATTTCATATTCTCTAAGTATTTCAATATATTATTATCACATACCTCTTCCCCTTGAGGTGACCCAGACCAAACCTACCTCCACCCATTCTTCCATAGATAATACCACCCCTTCTTTCATCAATTTCTTTTTTGTATCTCTTCCTTCTATCGATCCACAGCTTGCTACCGTGAAAGGGGCTGCGAGGCTCCAACACCCCTATCGGGAAATGGTTATGGGGAGGGGTAGATGGGAGGAATCGGGTCCTATAGTGCTGATGAAGGATAGAAGGGTATGATGTATGCTATTAAAACATATTCTCTCAATTAGAAAATATTCCACCCTGACCGGCCTCTGGTAATGTCACAAGACTTGCCCTTAAAGCCCTCCCGCTGCAATCTAGCCACCCTTGGACCCTTTGTACCCCCCTTGTTATGAACATCTACAATGCACCCTATATTGTAGCTGAAAACGGAGGGGTATGATACCCCTTCTTGACTCACCCTACCCCCTCTGTTGATACTTGACTTCAGGATTCGATCCCGAAGGGGGCCTGCATCTTTAAAAGTGTTTTTGGTGACGTAGCGACAGAAAGCAACGTTTCGATGTGCATAGTGGATAGGATGCATGATTGGACTCTGGTCATAGGAACGACCTAGGGGTGGTTGCACTTGGTTATCTCAACAATGGGTTATAGATAAATTTGTACAAATATTGTCTAATCGATGAGTACAAATTTATGCTATATATACACAAATATGTACAAAAAGATAATAGTAGGTGTATGATATGTAAAAGCAGAGGTACAAGAAAAATGGTACCATCCAATCTTTCCGTACTACTGTTGAAGGCTGGTACCGCGAGATTCGGGAGAGATCGTCACCTAGTTGACTAGCCTAGTAGTCAGTGTTTTTACGGTACTGGCAATAGTACTGTGAGTGTCACCGAGTCATCCGATGATGCGGCCGCTGAGCCTAGTAATCTGATGATCGATGACTCATCCGAGACTCGAGTTATGATCCCGCCGTCACGGTACGGTATACTACCGTACTAGGTAACAGTGACGGTGCATTTCAGTTTCATGGCATTTTTTTGAATGGTCGGCGCACTTAAAATTTGTACCAGAAACTTCGATAATGGTTGAAAGAGTCTGTTTGAATCGGGGACCGTGTCGAGCAGTTTTAGGTTTGCAAGTAGAGATCGGCGCCGGAACCAAGCGGCCTTGAAGGGCACTGCGCACTACAAGTTAGTACGGTATTCGGCCGTGATGGTGAGAGCTTGAGACCGTCACTTTGCAGCCGGCGGCCGCCGCTTACCCGGTTAGTGCGCCGCAGGGCCTCCGACTATCATCGAACTTCGGGGCGGGGCAACTTCCGAGCAAAATTGACTAACTTCGGATGCAGTTACTGTCAGGACGGTGACACGGTGCCACCACTTCCGAGACTCGAATCCGGGCCCTTTTAAAGGTGGACTCTCTGTCCTGATTATGTCAGTAAGAACCGATGATTTGTTCATTAATGATGGACAGAATGATCAGTGCAGCGTAGCTCAGGCTTACGATTCAGGAACTTCGGAAACATCAAATTTTATGTCATCAGAACTCAGTACCCGGAGCGAGTGCCTCCTGATTGCTTTGTTTGAATTCCTGAAGCATATCAAATCAGCGCACCAGAGCCATCGAGAGAAGGTTGTCAGAAATATGGGTCCTACCGAGTACAACGTGAATAACACATGAAGCGATTCTGTTATGTTGCTGTAGACAGGAATGTCGAGGATTGCACAAACAATACGCGCATAAGCGACAGTGTCAACGTTCAGATCTGCCGTCATATCAGGAAGATGTTAATTTCCACAGCGACTGACCTGCAGAAGGCAGCAGGGCGCCAGCAAAAGCTTCTTCCACCTCAGGACTCCACATCTGCATCAGAGTCTCCACATCAGGCATCGGCTTGGTGTAGTGCACGTTGGGGGGAGGGTTGCTTCGGTGCAGCTCCGATATGCTCTGAATCCAATTCGTAATCTTCTGAGGATGCTGTGCTGCGTTCTCAATGTAGGGGACAGTAGTCGGCTGAAGAGAGGCTTGGGTAGAGATGGCTCTCAGCTGCAGGTCAAGGACCGTCGGATCTGTCTGTTGAGCTGCTGGTTCATCAAGCACGGTAAGGCCGAGCGTGTCCTTCTTGCCATCAGGACGAGGAATCTTGAGGAAAGGATCAATCTCTCCTATCGCTGGTATGTACTCAGGGATGAAGGGTTTCAGCTTGGTCTCCAGCTCGATCGTCTGCGGTTTGTACCTGCCGATGTACTGGAACAGCTCTCTAATCTCATCTGAGACTTGGAGGTTGGCATAGTCCATCGGGTTGTACCCTTGCATCTTGCCGTCCTGTTCCTGCTCGTCATCATCTTCAGACGTCGTATCTGAATGTTCCTCATCGTCGTCGTCCTCTCCTGAAGCAGATCCAACCTGCATCTGCTCTTGCCTCGGCTGAGGAGCAGGGGCTTGTCGCGGCTCCACCTTCCTAGCTTCCTGCGCTTTTTGCGGATTTTGCGGAGGGGCATCTTCCTCCACAGATTCTGAGCTGCTCACATCAACAGCCTCGTCGAAGTGTTGGTTTTCAACAACCTGCGATTTCCTTTTGCTGGGACTCGAGTCATCCCTTGATTCAAACTCGTCTCCAAACACCAGACTCTCTTCGCCTCCCTGCCCCTGTACAGGCTGCTCGTTGTCATCATCAGATGTCTGTGACTCCTCCTCGCCGTCAGGCACAGACTCGTCGTCAGAAACTTCCACCTCCTCATCATGCGGTGCATTGTCCACCTTCGACATGATGAAAGGAAGTTCAGATCAAGTCAACTGAAGCGACGACACTGAAAATCTACTCCAGGTAAAAGCACAGTCACGTTATAGGCGCGCAACTTTTCTTTTCGTCAAGGAGGATTGAAACAGTTCGGTAGCTCTTGATATTCGTCGACAAGAGGCAAGAAAGGGAAGGAATGAAGAAAAAGTGAATATGAACAGGTTGTTGTTCAGTGTATGTAAGCGGAAACAGCAAAGGTAGAGGATAAGGAGCAGAATCAAGTCAGTTTCTACTGCACCATTGCACAATGGCCATAGCGCTGTTGGTGCCGCAGTAGAAGTTTTTCAGAAACGGTCACTCTACTTTTTCTTTTGAAAATGTCTCATTTATTCATTTCTTTGATTTGAAATTATACCCTAAAGGTATGAATATTCTTTTGAATTTTGATATCACCGTGACCCTGAAAGAATTTTGCTTGTCCTCTGATGCTCAACCGATTCAAATGATAACTGTCAAGTAACGATGGAAACGAATGTAACGAACATTTATTTAACGTATGTAACCGCTAATACAATGAAAGGAAGTAAATATGTTTTAAACTGAGTTATGTCTTGGTACTAAAAGGAAAGTAAATACTCTTTATATAATAATGGTACAAATACACATACAAGAAAAAACGAGAAAAAGTCTTTTGGGACTCAAGGCTTCAGGGTTGACGGTTCAGGTATGAAACATTCAGGTGAACCATTCTGAACTTTCCCCGAATATTTTCAAATAGGAGAATAAAGTTTGGATACATTATTGAAATATACTTAGAATACTATTTAAAAATACTAAATGTTTTAACTTCCTGGTATCTATTTATAAATTAAATTATATATAAGAACATGGCTCTAAAAGTCCAGAGGATCGCTGGGCATATTTCGATGGTTAACTTGAAATATTGAAATTGTTTGTGGATACATATTATTAATTCAAGTTAATGAATGAAAATTGGAGGATAATTCCCAAAATAACCTCCTTGAAAGTCGCCATGGCGTTGTGCCATGCATGGAAACGAAGGGGCTGATAAGGAGAGGAAGGGGGGAGGAGGAGGATGCTTGAGCGAGGAGGAGTAAGAATGAAGGGTATCGAAGGGGAAGGGCAAAGACGATCAGAATGTGTGATCTCACAAGGTTTTGAATTAGAGATGGGCACAGGAAAAGGAATAGGGAGAGGATGTTGTGGTTGTGAAGTGGCTGTAAAAGGATGGTAGACTTGTTCTTCTGAATGAGTAACATTGTTTCTATCGTTAGATCATTTTCATTGAAGTTGGAAAGTTTGTACAGAGATTATTCTCTTTGTGAAAACAAATAACACATGTCGGCAAGTATAGCAAACGCTGTGTAGTAGACTTTCACTCGTTGCCCATTGCTGTAAGCAACTTTGAATAGCGTGGTAATTGTTCAATCTAGAATTCCGATAATCCAATCACACATGTCAGTGTCCTGTTGCAGAATGAAACACTTAAATTTCAATCTGCAGAAGTGAAGGTTGTCAGTGCTGGATTTATGAAAAGCTCTGCACGCTTGTAGAAGAACGAGTTGAAAATCAAGGAGGCATCATGTCAGCAGATGAAAATGCTGCGATCCAGCAGGTAAACTAGATGATTCTTGCAGCCTCATGATTAAAATTGCTGTAGGAGTTGGATCAGGAAATGGAACGACTGTTCCAGCATTTTGAGCAGGTGGGCATTGGGCATTATTTTTCTTCTGACATCTCAAGAAGCTGTGCTGTAAGATCAGATATTGACATGTGATGCTAGGACGAAGAGAGGACAGCAAGGTTAGCTGCAGCACTAGAACAGGAGTCAACAGCTGCAGCGTTGCATTTTGCGCTATTCCCTCGCAAAACACGAGATGGAGGGTTGCAGCCAACGTGCAGGTGATCTTGGTTGATACTGAAGATAGAAGCTCTGATGGGATTATGACCATAGGGAACCTGTGGTGTCGATGATGGCGTTCGTTGTTGACATCTTCAGTCCCCATGATGGAAGGTAAGGTTACGATGATGGTGACTATAATGATCATCATCATCATCATCATCATCATCATCATCATCATCATGTTCATTGTGATGATGAGAGGATATGAGTTGTTTTACTATGATTTGTTTTCCAGCATTGATCTCAGAGTTCTTTCTGAATGTTTCGAACCGACGTGCGAGGAGGTCAGAAAATTTCGTGCATGATAATGTAATCTTACAGCGAAAGTAACGAAATTGTTGGTGACAGGGAGAAGAAGGAATTGTTGGTCTATCATATCAATACAAAGATGACACTGGGGCAACTGTCCAGTTATCCAGAGGTGATGATGAGAAGGAGGAGCAGGAGCAGGAGCAGGAGCAGGAGCAGGAGGAACAGGAGGAGGAAAATATTAAGGTACTGATTCTGACTCCCAGGCAAAGTGAAAGATGCAAAGAGACAGTTTGCGCATCAAGTCAGTCTTTGGTCATGATCAGTCGCGACAAGAAGGTTGATTTGACATGACAGGTCCAACTTCGCCTGTCACTCGCGTGCAACCCGAACATTTCAGTCAAGGTGGGATCCACTACACGATCTTGTTGTGTTCCCTTCAGTGCAAGAATCAAAAAACTTGGGCCTTGTGATCAGCACCTGTGTGAAGTGATCAGCATCTGTGAAACAATTTTTCATAAGAGAAGTTTGGTTCTTCACAGATCCACTCTGTCTTCATGAGATTCTCAACGCAGTTCATTTTTAGTTTTGCTTCTGTCCTACACAGACAAATTGCTGTTCACTGTTGTTCCACACACCTTCGCTCGCTCTTTTCTTTGTTGAAGTGAGAGAAACAGAGAGATAGAGACAGAGAGACAGTGTGTTGTGTTTGTGTGTGTGTATCTTTGCCGCCAAGTACTCGCAATGCGATTTCCTGCTTACAAAGTCTAAATGAATCTCTGTAGGTTTTCAAGACTGGTCGACTTCAAATTGCAGGTTGCAAGGTGAGGAAAATCTGATGCTTCTGAATCCTTTGCCTATCACGCCCGAAACCTGTCTTTGCTGATGCAACCTATTGCTAAGGGAGGAATGACTTGTTTCTTGATATCTTGACATGTCGTTCCAGGACGAGGGCACTTGCAACAAGATCGTTCGGCACGTGCTCAACTGTTTGAATTCGTGAGTGAACATGTCACAACATCTGCTCCTCATGCCATACCTGCTCTCGATGTTGTATGCTCCGCATGACTTCTAAGATCACTCGGATCGCTCAGTGTGATTACAAGAATGTATTGCTTCGATGATGTGGAAGGAAGATGATGTTGAACTAATGATTGAGATTTGTTGTTCAAAAACTTTTTGTTTTTCCTCTATCTGTTTTTTTTTGTCTTCTTTTGATTGGTTTCTACTCTTTCCTGCATCTTCTGAGCTCGTTGACAGCATTCAAGCAACACCGCAAGGGGCGCGCGTGTTTGAACGGCACGTGTGTGAGCCTTCCGGTGAGTTGGTTGCCGGAGGCGAGCAGGGGAGAAAGTTGCAGGAATAGTAGAAAAGCGTGAAGGAGGGGAGAGAGAGGGAGGGCGAAGGAGGAGGAGGGCGGGAGAGGCGAGGAGGAGTTGATAGCCAAGGAGGCTAAAAACGTGTGCAGGCCAGCATGTCGCCATTCATGGACCCATCGACTATGATGCAGTGGTAAGAGAGGAGAGGGGAGGGGAGGAAGAGGAAGGGGAGGGATGCTGAGGTCTAATATGCGGGTGAAGGTGACGCCGGAGACCGTGAACATCAACTGTACCTTTGACGCGGGCTACTCGTTTGTTGGCTACACGCTTGACCCCCTCGCTCTGAAGGAGGTTGGAGATGCGCACATGACGATGTCTTGTTATATCATCCTCTCTCCCTCCAAACAAGTGCAACAACACCATGACGAGTGTTTTACATGTGTTACATGTCTGATCATTATTCCTACGGCTACTCTGTTGACTTTGGTCTGCAGATTGTTGAGCAACAGCAGTACTCGACTTGCGTCAAATCAGTGGAATACACTCCTGAAAAGAGGTATAAGAGGAATGATCGAATTTGTGGAGAGGAAGAGGGAAAGAGGAAGAGCTTGTGATAGAGATGATGATGATGACGTTGTCGTCGTTTGCAGTAGCAGTAGCAGTAGCAGTAGCAGTAGCAGTAGCAGTAGCAGTAGCAGTAGCAGTAGCAGTAGCAGTAGCAGTAGCAGTAGCAGTAGCAGTAGCAGTAGCAGTAGCAGTAGCAGTAGCAGTAGCAGTAGCAATAGCAGTAGCAGTAGCAGTAGCAATAGCAGTAGCGGTTGCTGTTGTTGTCCTTGAGCAGGAGGGAGGAGGAGCAGGAATAGGAGCAGGGGGAAGAGGAAGATGGAGGAGCAGGAGCAGGAGTAGGAGCAGGAGCAGGAGGATGGAGATGACGTCGACGATGACGATTGTCTCTTCCAGATATGCGGGTCTGAAGATTCTGTTTGTTCCTCCGCAAGCAAGCAACTCAACGGGTGAGGACGTGAGGGGATGATCTCGATACCTGACATGAACAAGATCCCAAGAATAAGAGAGAAGTTTTCATCGGCATCTTCCCTTCCTCCAAGACCGTCATCACTGGTTAACCTCTCCCCTTCACACTCCTCTCCTCCTCATCATCATTATCATCATCATCAGTATCATCATCATCATTGCTTCCATCCGTCCGCCCTCTTTCTTCTTCTCCTCTCTCTCATTTTGTTTTTTTCCTCTCAGGCGCAGTCAACTGGGCAGAGGTAGACGACGCGTACGACTTCGCCTCTCGGCTTCTTCTACAGGTGAGGGGTGGAGAAGAAAGGAGGAGGGGGAGAGGGAGAGGGAGAAGAGGAGGGCAGATGGAGGGATCGAAGACGAGCAGATGCGGGGGGGGGCAGGGAGGATAGGAGGAGAGTGTAGAGAGCAGAGCAGAGCAAAGGAAGGGTGCTTGTGTTGTCTGATTTCATTGTAGAATTTTGAAGCGATAAGAAAGCCAATGGACGATGCGTCTGCTAGGAGAGCCAGACAGGTTCCTCTTTCTCCTTTCTTCCTCCCACCTCCTCCTCCCTCCCTTGCCCCTCATTGCGCTGACTTTCTCTCCCCCCCTCTCTCCCTCTTCTCCTCCTCCAACGTAACTTTTGTGTTGCTTGTTTCTTGAATTTTTCTCTCTGTTTCCTTTCTCTGCTTCGTCTCCTACTCATCCTGACAATCTCCTTCATTTTTGCAGCAGCAAAAGTACAACTGAAGAACAAAGAAACAATCAAATTGAAAGGGAAGTATATGTCAACAAACAGGGAGGAAGTAGGACAAGAAAGCAAGAAAGAGAAGGAAGACAAAGAAAACATGCCAGGAGAAGTCAGCATGTTTGTCGTCTACATGCATGCTGCGGTCATGGTGTCCTACTTGAATCAGACACGATGGTATCCGATAGAATGTTGTAAATTGTAATCGAAAGCAAAATTAAAGACAAGTGTAAATATCACCAACGGGGTTGAGAACAGCAACCAGCAGACCTTTACTCTTCTCTTCTCTAACGCAATCGCTTTCGCTCCCCTGTCTCTCTCTCAACATCCCCTTGTTCTCTCTCATTGGTCCCCCCTCCTCTCCTCCACCTTCCTTCCATCTCCTACTCCCCTCTCCTCTCCTCTACCCTCTCCTCTCCTCCCTTTGCTCGCCTCCCCTCCCCCCATCCTCCTCCTCCCACTCAAGACGCTGAGAAGCTTCCTGAGCATGGGATCACACAAACAATTGCATCCTTCACCCATCTCGTCGTCTCCTTCATCTCAGGGTTGAACATCATCAGCGTCTTCACTGTCGTCCTGAACTTCATTGCGAGACTTTCAACCGTCTCCTGCTCCTTCATCCTGTACGACGACCCCACTCGCACTGCCAGCTCCTCCTCCACTATCACGTTCGGATCCGAGAGGACGGGGAAGAGCCGGGCTGCGTTGGCGTTCCATATGTGCCGCCATTGCGCTTCCATACCGCTCCTCCGCGCTAGCAGGAAGAGACTTTCTCCCTCCCGCAAACACACAACGCACTTCTCCACCTCCACCTTCACGCAGCTCGACACTGACCGCGTACTGGACTTGTCCTGGGCATGCGAGCAGAGCTCGAAGACGCTCCCTTCCTGCCCCTGCTGTGGCCTCCAGGACACGCATCTCTCGCAGGGAGGAGGAGCGAAGACTGCCGTGCCGGTGCTGGCAGCGAAGAGGGGAGAGAGCGAGGAGCTGGACGGGTCGGAAAGGTCGCTGGAGCAAGTCCCGTCCTCCGTGAAGGAAAGGTTGCTGAAGGAGAAGGAAATGTCGACGGAGTAGAGGTCCTTGACATCCTTAGCTCTAAAGCAAGCACGGTACAGGCATCCGACGTTGGCCATGGCAGTCGCAACCCCTGAAGCGACGGGAAGGAAGGAGATATCGGGAGGCTCGACAACGAGCTCGAAGCATCCGCTCTCCCTCTCGCAAGCTGCCTCCTCCTCCAGACTCGCAAGGAAGCATGTCCGGTATGTCCCCACCTGGTCGCTCCTCGGCTCCCAGCGGAACCTCCTCGTCACGGGGTTGCAGACTCCGTCTTGCCGCAAGCATCTCTGCTCTGAGAGTGACGCGCCATTAGGAATCCCCGGCTCCTCCAGCAGCAGGATGGAAGCGTTCCTGTCCTGCAACGGAATCTCCACAGTCGCATACACGTTCACCTCCACCATGGCGCCGACAACGACCGTTAGCCTCCCGCCCGTCATAAGCACTCGCTGCGGCCCTGGAACCGGTCGGCTCGCCAGCATGCCGCTGGGATCGGTGATAGTGCCGTGGACGCCGAGCATGGCCTCGAATGATCCCAAGGACACCTTGCAGGAGGAGGCAGCACATGGAGAAAGGCGATGACTTAGGAGGAGGAAGCAACAAGTGAAGACGGAGGACGATAATAGTGATCTCATATTTTCTCTTGCCTTGGTATGAACACTGTTGAAGAGAAAATGATCAAAGTTTTCTAACTGTGATTCCGTTCAAACGGTTTCAAGCTGAGCTGCTCAGCGGCGGTCCACTGTAACTGAAAGTTCCTAAGACTACTGCTCAGTTGGTCTCCTTCATCACTTAGTACTCGCCCCGCGGTAGTGTCCTAGCCTAGTAGTCTCTTTCCTAGAGAGAGGTATCCGACTGTTCCTCAGCCTCCTTCCTCGTTGTTCTCACCGCGAACCCTCAGCAGTCACTCACTCAGTCAGTAGTAGAGCAGAGCAGTGGGTCATGTCAAACTTGTCAATTCAATGATTAGCCGCTCAACTGAAAGCACGCCCCCCCCCTCCGTTCGCCGGGCCCGATTCATCTGTGCGGCTGACTGAGTGCCGCGTGCCGCTGAGTCACGGGCCAGGATCAGTCACTGCCTCCGGCATCTCACGACTCAGAGTCCCTCCGGGCCCCCGGTGGCGGCCCAGTCACTCGGATCTGCTCCGTCGCCGGATCCGATCGGATCGCCCGGCCCGGCCCGTCATGGTCACCACTAGTACGCCGGCAGCACTGACAGTCACTGAGTCACCCGTACGCCTCCTTCTCATCGCCCTCATATCCATCAGGTTATCCACCCTACCTTGCAGGTTCGTACCCCTAGGGAGACAAATTGCTAGAATAAATCAAATATTGTTCAAAAATGTAAGTGTAATATTGAAAATTAAATAGTATTTTCTGAGTATTAATTTATTTTTATGACCCCTGCCCTGAGAAAGGTTGAGCACCGCCTTGTTAGTACCCCACCCCCCTTCCCTTCCTGTACCCCTACCCCCTTTCCAAACAGTCACTACCACCGGGTTTGTGGGGGTACCTTGCTAGGCTCTTTCCTCGGGCATGGCCTAAAGGCGCTTCGAGGAGAGGAGAGGAAGAGGAGGAGAGAGGAGGAGGAGGAGGAGGAGGAGACCAAGAGGCGAGAGGAAAGAGATAGGGAAGAGGAGGAGGAGCAGATTGAGGAGAACACACGGGAGAATCCGAATCCGACGTACAAGGGACCTACGAGATCGTTTCTAGCAGCCTTTCCAATGCAATGACAGAATTTCTCTCCGATTGATCAGAAGGCAGTTGCGATTCTTTAGACTCAAGAACCCTTTCGCAAAGAACTTACTGGGCAAGTGGTCAACGGTGCTGATGTTGTGACATATGGCCGGACAAGATTTGTTGCGTTTCTCTACAGCAAACATCATGAATGAACTTTTTCTCCTTCTGCAAGTTTTGTTACTCATTGGAACTCAACTGGCAACGGTGGAGAGTTTTCTCACTGCAGCTCCTTCTCTCCACCCAGTTGCTCAACACTTCTTTCCTGCAGCGAAAGGACCATCCTCCGCTCACATGGTGTGTCGTGCGAACGTCGGGACTCAGTTGGGCAACGGACAGTATGCTCGGGCTTTCCTTGCCTTCAAGTCTCATCGGAGTGCGATGGGACGATGGAGAATGGATGTATCGAAGTTGAAACTGTCTGAAGGAGGAGGAGGAGGAGAGGAGGAAGACACTGACATCGACATGGAGGTCAAGATCTACACAGCGATCAGTAAGATCGATCGTTTAGAGTGGAACAAGTGCTGCGAGGAGGCTGCAGGGAAGGGCAAGGAGAATCCCTTCCTCGCGTGGGAGTTTCTGAACGCCCTCGAGGAATCTGGATCGGCTTCAGGGGCTTCGGGCTGGGCCCCCCACCACCTTGTTGTGCATGACAAGCACAGCAGTCGCATCCTTGCTTGCGCTCCTGTGTACCTCAAGGGCCACAGCTATGGGGAGTATGTGTTCGACCATTCCTGGGCTAGAGCATACAGGACGTTCTCCAGCGACAACTACTACCCGAAGCTGCAGTGCTGCGTGCCTTTCACTCCTGTGATGGGGCCGAGGCTGATGGCGAGGGGCGAGACGGAGGAGGAGGCAAGGAGAGCGAGGAGGGCGCTGGCTCGGGGGATGGTGGAACTGTGTAGTAAGTACGGGCTGAGCAGTGCGCATGTGACATTTCCCACCAAGGAAGACTGGGAGCTGATGGGCAGGCAAGGGTTCCTGCTGCGGACGGGGATACAGTACCACTGGAGGAACGAAGGGTACCAGAGTTTCGACGAGTTCCTGATGCGGCTGAAGCAGTCGAGGAGAAAGAGCATCAGGCAGGAGAGGAACAAGGTGGCGAAGGCGGGGGTGAGGGTGAAGGCTCTGACGGGAGAAGAGATTGAGGAGAGGCATTGGGATGCGTTCTATCAGTTCTACCTCAATACGGTAGATGAGAAATGGGGGCAGGCTTACCTGAACCGAAAGTTCTTCACCCTGTTGGGAAGGGAAATGGCAAACAAGGTCTTGCTCGTGGTGGCGGAGGAGGAGGAGACTGGAGAGCTGGTGGCGGGAGCGCTGAACCTCATTGGAGGAGACTGCCTGTATGGCAGGAACTGGGGATGTAGCAAGAAGTACGACTCTTTGCACTTTGAGCTTTGCTACTACCAGGTTCTTCTCCTCTCCTCCTCTCCTCCTCCCCTCCTCCCCTCCTTTCCTCCTCCCCTCCTTTCCTCCTCCCCTCCTCTCCTCCTCTCCTCCTCTCCTTTGTTTCGATTCGTCCTCAAGTTTTCTTTCCTTCCCTGCATTTCCCTTTTTCCTCTCCCCCCTTCCCCTCCCCTTCCGCCTCTCTTTCCACTCTGATCGCTACTCGTCGCCTCCTCCAGGCCATCGATGCCGCCATCCGCATGGGGCTTCAACGGGTGGAGGCAGGAGCGCAGGGGGAGCACAAGATTTCCCGCGGTTACCTCCCGACCTTCACTTACAGCGCTCACTTCATACGCGTTCCCAACTTTCGCAATGCTGTGAACCAAGCGCTGGTTCAGGTTCCTCCCTCTCCTCTCAACCCCTTCCCTCCTTCGAATCTTCCCTTCCCTTGCTCCATCTCTCCCCCCTTTTCTCAGTTGCTCCCTCCCTCCTCTCCCTCCCTCCCTTCTCCCTCCGTCCCCTCCCTCCTTCCCCTCCCCCCCTCCCTGCCTCCCTGCCTCCCTCCTTCCCATCCCTCCCTCCCTCCCTCCTTTCCGTCCTAGGACCTTATATGATCGTTTGCGGCAGGAAAGGGATCAGATCATTTATGCGTCTGCCATGCTCACACTGCAAGAGTCGCCATACAAGGTGAACCAACACCGCAGCTCATCCTCACCGTGCTGACTCTCCTTTCTCCCCTTCCTATCATCTTCTGCTGTTACTCCACCTCCACCTCCACCTCCATCCTCTGATTCTGTCCTCCTCACGCCTTGTCCTCCCCCCCTCCCTCTCACCCTTAGTTGTACTTCTACTTATCTGCTCCCTCGGATTTCAGGAAGGAGCCGAGCAGCATCTGGAGTCTCAAGGCATTCGCATTCAGAAATCTCAATGATCTTTTCATGTCGTCGTTGTATTTAAACAGCACAAAGAAATAAAGCAAATAAACAAATTACAATACATCCCCAGCAATCCTGTGTCTGCACTCCCTACCCTTCCACCTTCTGTTTTTTCTTGTTGTCTATCGCACGCATGTCAGTCTTTCCAACCTTTCTCTCTCTTCAACTTACTCATTCAACCCAGAAGGTTTCCATGTCTCCCTTGCCTTTGATCTGCCGCACGCCTCGGCTGGTGATGCGAAACTCGCTCTCCCCTCCTTGACTCTTGAGGAGATCAGCAGAAAACTTGGAGCAGTGGATGCGGCCAGCCTATTAAAATCATCACGATCTACAGAATTGAGAGGCAACCAACACGGCAAGAAGGAGAAGGAACATACAAAGCAGGACAACGGGGATCTTTTTGCCTACCTCGGAGTTTGACTCCATCCTAGAAGCTGTGTTCACTGTGTCTCCGAACAAGCAGTAGCGCAAGTTTCTGCTGCCTACCACGTTGGCCACGACAGGACCGGAGTGGAACCCGACACGGATCTGCACGTAGCCCTTGGAAGGATCGTCGCGGTCGATGAGGGTCTCGGACGCACACTGAACTGCGAGCTTTGCGAACTGAGCGATGCGGAGGGCGTGATCTTCCTTCTGATCCTCGACGAGGTTGGTCACTGCCATGTAGGCGTCGCCGATGGTCTCAACTTTGAAGATCGCGTGGTCGTGTGTGATGTTATCGAATCGGGAGTAGAGACGGTCTAGCATGTCCGAGATCTTCTCAGGAGGGAGAGTCGAGCTGATGTCCGTGAAGCTGACGATGTCGGAGAAGAAGATGGTGACGCAGTCTCGGTGCTCGGGATACACCTTCTTGCCCGCCATGAGAGTGTCTGCAATGTGCTTTGGGAACACGTCGTAGAGCATCGAAGTCACTCCGTTGTTGCTGCCAAACTCAAACTTGCGGACGATCTCACAGACCTGAGCATGTTGAACCATCTCAGAAGCGTAGGGGAAGAACGGCTGCGCGCTCGCTGAGAACATGCTGCGAAGAGCCTTGCAGATCTCTTTGAACTGGATCTTCTCGTTACGGAACAAGGCACGCGAGGCTTCGTTGAAGTTGTCGGAGAGTCCGAAGTAGAAATCATCATTCAAGTACTCGGCAAAATCAAAGTCCTTCTCGATGGGAACTGGGATCACAGGCTTGCGTGTGCGGTACGCGTGCACAATGTGCATGATGACCTGGGGGTTTGTGAGCGTGTTGTCTGTCAACAGTACAACAAAGTTCTGAGCATTCTCCATGTGGCGCAGGAGGGAAGACATCTGAGCTTCTTCCTCTTCAAAGTAGGTGAATCCACGAGCAAAAGGGATGATCTCGTCAAAGAGCAGCTTCAAGATCCTTGCTGTGGCCCTGCCGTCTCCCTGGTCGAAGACGAGGTAGTTGGAGTAGAGCGATGGAGTATCGGAGGAAGGCATGAAAGTCCTCACTGCATCAGGTGTTGAAAGCCTCAGCTTGTACTCATTGGAGAAATCTCCGCAAGACAGCACGACATTCTTAGCCACGGCCTGCAGCTGAGACCACTGAGAAGCCTGTCGGGCGGACGGGTTGTAAACCATCCTTGGAAGCTCGAGGATCCACCTGATGACTGTCTCCACATCCTCAAAGGTCTTGTTCTGCTTGCAAGCTTGAGACACGTACACGAGTGTGTTCTCGTCGACGTGAAGATCCAGGTACTCCCTGAGGTTCTCGTTGCTGACGTTGAAACCAGCCCCTTCAATCTCAACACTCAGAATCGGGATGTTCTTATCAATCGCTGTGAACAGCTCACACAGGATGCCAGCACGAAACAGCACAGACTCGCTGAGAAGCACAAGGACACTTTTGGACTTGGAGACGCGATCGAGAAGGCTAGACTGGCTCTCAGAGTTGTCACTCTCGAGGAAGACCCGTGGGTTGTAGAGCTTGCCCTTGTTGTCTGATTCATTCGAGACATCCTCCACTTGGACAAGTTTGTTCAGCATCAGCTTGATCAGACGAGCTGCCAGCCCAGACTCGTCCGTCCCGTGGCAAAGGAATGTCACATAAGGACAATTCGCGATCTCCTCTTGGAATTCGTTGAACAGAATACCATTGCCGGCGGATTTTACCGATTTTTCCAGAGCTAGATTCCTCTCGGCAAGCTCAGCAGCGTGGTCCATCAATCTGTTCTGAATCTGCACGTGGATCTCATCTTGATACAGCTTGAGCTCCGTTGCAGTCTCAGGATGCAACGTCATCCACTTCCAGATCCTCTTGACTGTGCAAAGCTCGAGAAACTTTGAAGTCTTCGCTTCGTCTTCTTCTTCGCTCTCAACTTCTCGATGCGTCTTGAAACTGAGAGTAGCAACAAGATTCCTCAAGTCTGTCCACCTTCGCCACGCGTTGTCTTCGTACTTCCTGTCTTTCTCCAAACTTGAGATCTGATCAATGACATCATCTGTTTTAGTGACTGACGCATATAGCGGAAAGATCTCTTGACAATACTGATCTTGCTCAGCCTGCGTCCTCCCGCACGTGCAGTCCTCAAGCTGATGCACGCGGAAACCAAGCTCATGTGCAGCGCGTCCCGTGGAATCTATGCAAACGCTCGTGACGGCTCCACAAAGAACAACATCCGTCACTCGCTCTCGCTTGAGAAGCTCCTCTAGACAAGTTCCTGCAAACGCGTTCAGCCCTCGCTTCCCCGGGATCTGGATGATTCTGTCGCCGAACTGCGTGATCTCTGGGATGGTCTCGCTGCCTTTGTCTCCCATCTTGAAGGCCTGCACGTCCTTGATGACCTTGAGGATCCCGCTCGGCTCAAGGAGCTCGCTGTAGTCCTTGGTGAAGATGATCGGAGTCTCGATGAAGAGCACGCTTGTGTCCTTGAGGCTGTTGATGATCTTGAGGGTGTTCCTTAGCACAGAGTCCGAGGATGCTTGGATGACCCCATGCAGCTTGCCATCCCTTCCGAAGTAATCTTTCTGGTATCCTATCAGCACAACGGCTGTGCGTGAAAACAGCGGCTGAGAACCAACCATGCTGTACGCTTTCTGCAAAAGAAGATCAGAACAAGGAATGGGGGAACATACACCCTCCCAGCTTCAGCCTGCAAGATTTTGGACACAATGTCATCAGTCTTAGTGACTGACGCATATAGCGGAAAGATCTCATTGCAGTAGCATTCTTGCTCAGCCTGCGTCCTCCCGCACGTGCAGTCCTCAAGCTGATGCACGCGGAAACCAAGCCCATGTGCAGCGCGTCCCGTGGAATCTATGCAAACGCTCGTGACGGCTCCACAAAGAACAACATCCGTCACTCGCTCTCGCTTGAGAAGCTCCTCTAGACAAGTTCCTGCAAACGCGTTCAGCCCTCGCTTCCCCGGGATCTGGATGATTCTGTCGCCGAACTGCGTGATCTCTGGGATGGTCTCGCTGCCTTTGTCTCCCATCTTGAAGGCCTGCACGTCCTTGATGACCTTGAGGATCCCGCTCGGCTCAAGGAGCTCGCTGTAGTCCTTGGTGAAGATGATCGGAGTCTCGATGAAGAGCACGCTTGTGTCCTTGAGGCTGTTGATGATCTTGAGGGTGTTCCTTAGCACAGAGTCCGAGGATGCTTGGATGACCCCATGCAGCTTGCCATCCCTTCCGAAGTAATCTTTCTGGTATCCTATCAGCACAACGGCTGTGCGTGAAAACAGCGGCTGAGAACCAACCATGCTGTACGCTTTCTGCAAAAGAAGATCAGAACAAGGAAAACTAAAGCAACCTAACACACAACTGCAGACAACAATGACTGCAACTAGTTTCACTGCATCCAAACAAATTGTTCTGCGATGGATTATTGTATCACAATGAAAAAGAAGAGTCAGACCATTGCTCTCTAAATCTGTTTTATACTTTGCCATTCATTTCTCTTCCTTGTCTATCTGTTCACCCCTCAAACCCTCTTCGACCATTCGCCTTTGCACTTCGTATGCCTTCTACTGTCTTCACTTCGTTTCCTCTCCTCTCTCCCTCTCATCTGCTATCGCTCGTCCTTTCCTTCTCTTGCTCATTAAACTCTCCTCGCTTCCTCCCTCCTCTCGATCCCCATCCCTGCTCTCCCTCCTCCTCACGGCCTACAGCAACATGGCGAGCGCCGTGAGGTTGGACTGTTTCGAAGGTTTTCACGGAAAGGTGGTACTATCCACTGGTCTTAGCTGAAACCAAAGAGTAAAATACTACAGATTTACTCTTATTGAGTAAACTTTAGTATTATATATTTTAGGTACTTGTGGATACTTTGTGGGTGTTTTCAAAACTTTTATCCCTAAATGTATATGCCCCCATGACCTGAACCTCACGCAGACGTCATTCTTTGTAGATGGCTACCAAAATCTATGCTAATTTCGGGATACATATCGAAATAAGTGCAATTGATTCGAAATTTCCTTTGTAAGTGGTAGTAAAATAGTTCATATTTTCAAGTTTAAGGGTCAGATCACCTGAAAAGGAAGGGGTTAATCGACAAGACTCGCCAACTTGCGTTGGAAAGCACGGGGCAGCGGAGATTCTATCTGAAAAAAAGGGATGAGGGAAAATGTGGTCTTTTCGTTTTAGGCTTGACCTTCTTGCAGACCGGGTTCCGACCCTTTCCACTACCCCTGCCAAATCATGAACCCATCAAGCATGCCCAGATGATACCCCCCCAATAGACTAATAAATCACCGGTATATCCTACACCCCACCCCAGGATGAGGAAACTTACTATACACCACCCAGCCTGTATCAGGCTTTACCTTGTAACTATGTCCCTGTAACCCTACCCCCTTTGTACCCAGACACAATGACCCTACCAACTCTTTTTGAGATGATGGTGACATACCCCCCCTTGTCCTCTTCAAAATCAGGTCGATACAACAGGTTCACAGCACAACATCTGCACCCCCACCCCCCCTTGTTGTACAACCACCCTACTGGAAGATTACCTGTAACATGTGAGTGAAGCAGATGACGGTACATTGTAGCATAATGTGTGCTGGGATGGTACCTTTGACAGTACTGTGATTTTAGTCATATATCTTATAATCTTATATAACGCTCTCACGGCACACCCTTTGAGTCACCACAGGAACTTGCTTGACGGTTAGACGGTTATTCAAACCTCAAGCCCTCTCCAATAGAGGCAGAGTTGCGCTGGGGGTCTGGTCTGCTGGGAGGAAGCGACTCCGAGGCTCCATGCAGGCCTCTCAGGGCACACGGCCTTGCATACTCCCCCGCCTGTACCGTCTGACTCATTCACCTCAAACTTGCTCTTGTGCGACGTCGGACCATCTCCTCCCGCCCTCCCTCCTGCCTTCGCCGGCGGGCTCCTCAGCGCCTCCTCGAGCCTCCTCGCTGTCGCCGTCTGCTGTAGAGCCGATAGAGCGCTCTCCGCCATACCCTGTAACCCCGAAAGAGGATTCGCCGCTCTCGGAGTCCCGCCGGGGATGCACTCGGAGGCTCCGCCGTGACGGCCTTGCACTCGAGCTCCCAGTATCTTGCGACTCTGACCTGGTCGTCGTCGTACGAGCCTGGGCTCAAGTTGTCAGGGCCTGATTGCGGCACGAGGGCCGACGCGTCCGATCGACGCGGCCGACTCGGAGCAATGCGGCTGTTGACGGTTGAGAATCGGACTGTATTCCTTTGAGTCTCGAGGGTCTGAAAGAGCTTCATGAGATCAGAGCTGATGTCGTCGGGGACAAAAGTCCAGCTTGTCGTTTGCTGAACACTAGCTGGTGGATCAGCCGTGGGATTGCTGATTTGTGATTTGATGTCGATGTTGCCTCTGTCTCGTTTGATGGCCGGGTCGTAGGGCTGGAGATGCTTGACGGGCTGGGGGATCTTTGACAGGCTGCTTTCTCACCACGGCCTCAAGCTCTGAGATCCTTCTTGTCGCTTCTTCCAACCTCTGCTTGAGTAGCGAGTCATCATGACCCTCCTCGGGCTTCGGCTTCGGACGACAGAGAAGCTGGGGAAGCAACTCATATCCCTTTCTCAGCCCAGGCCCGGAGAAACCTGCTACAGGAGCTTACATCAGCCGGCTTCAGATATCCCAGGCTCTACTGGTGACCTTCGAGAGTCCGACTCACTGCACTCTGAGGCCGCGGCTCAGCGGCACACAGTGCACCCGTGTGATGATACCGTACTCTTCCTCCCTTTTGGACATGCGGGTATAGTCCAGCAACTGAGCGATAGTGCACTTAGGAGTAGAACAGATGAGGAATGAAGCTAGATTTGTTGATGTACAGCAGTAAGAGAACACACGTCAATGTTCGTGCAGTCCCACTCTGACGACGTGGCCAACGTCTAAGATGGGTTATATGTCGAGGTCAGGCTTAACTCGTAATACACCATGAGTAAATGAAACATGTGTATCGGTTTATACCAGCCTCATGCTTTCATCATACCATTTATACATCTCGCCAGCGTACGTAGCCTCTTGCGACTACTCGCATGATGCTGCCATGTCCGTTACCGTAGTACTGACGTAACGTCATCATGTGCAGGTGCAACATCACCTTTTTCTTATGTCTGCCGGAGAGTCTATTCCGAGGCTCAGCCTGCCACAGTGGCCCGGGTTCAAGTGATCGGATCATGATCAGACCTAGTATTCAGTGAATCATACTGACTTAAATTAGGCTCTCTCTTGCTGCACTGCCGAAGTGCCATACCTTATGAACTTCGGAAGGCGGAGTCAGTCTCTTTCGATGATTCCGAGACCGCCGTGGCACTGACCGCAACAGTGCTCTGCTCAGCGGCTGGGCGGCCCTGGGCCAGCTAACGGTTCAACCTCGCCCATGCCGTCATGCGCCGCGCCGCCGGGCGGGGGGCTCCGCAGGCCTCCGAGTCAACAATCGGACTGTCACTGTGAACTGCAACAAGTTGCGGCAGCATCAGTGCCTGAGGAGGGCAAGAAATTCTGCCCTTTCTGCTATCTTTACTCAAAGTTAAGTTAAAAATCAGTAGGAGGACGCTCCGACCTCTGCGATGATAACCCCTTCAAGTACAGTGGGGAAAAGAGGGTGGGTGATCTACCCCACCTGTCCCTGTGCCTCAAAATCACCCCCTTGGAACACATATCAACCCCGCCGTTGTGAGTTCTTCTTGATCACCCCATCTTTTTTCAAGGAAAACTACCGGTACTGGATTCAAATCTACCCACCCCGGCTGGTCTCTGAGTCCGCGCCGTTATCACCCCTACCACACATACGACATCTTGAGGCCTTTCACTACCCCAAGAATGATAGGGAACAGTATGGGTACTTCGAGTTTCCATAGGTACCCCCACCCCTTCTTGTTGAAGCCGCAGACAATCAGCAATCAATGGCTGCCGACTCATTGCAGCGCTTGACGGCATGAGGGAAGTGAAGAGAGAAATTGAGAATGTCGTCGAGAGTGCGAAACGAATACCAGAAAGACCAGGGTATGCTGAATGGTTAACTTACGTGAATGAAAGAGGATGGAACAAGAGCGGAACTAGGCAGGAAATGAGACACGAATACTTGTCGTGGTAGTGATGCTGCTAATTAGGTGAGAAGAAACGTACAGGATAAGAGGGAGGATAGGAACACTGCAGAGCAGTTAGAAACATATTAGAGATTTAGCGAGGAGGTTTGAAATTGGCAGTGATGAAGCACTTTCATGTGGTTGCGTTTGTCGATTGGAACAAACCATCATTTCAGATTGTTTTGGTTTGCGATGATTGTATTGGGATGAGAACCTGCTCTTGACTCAACTGTATATTATGACAAATAATGCCTTGAGGAGTCAATGCACTACAATCATGTTTTTAAGACCTGGATGCGAAGCCCATATCCTGCACTGAATACGAGTTCATTTTTTTTTTTTGAAACCGTTGAACTGAACATTTGCAAGTCAACACTACATACTGCTACAAAACTGAGCATAACATGACGCTTGCTCACAGGATCAGCTTGTGAGTGAGGAAGAAACAGGTCGCCGGCTCAGCTCGGCGCGTATCGTCAGTCAAGCTGGATCCTTACGCTCCCGTGTCCGCGGGAATGTGGACTTATCCACCTGGGTACCCTCCACCTCCTGCAGGATGGCCTTATCCAGCTCAAATGCATGGCTATCCTCCCTATCCAGTTCCTTATCCCATGATGGTTGGTGGATATCCAGCTCCCCCGCAACCAGGGCGGCCAGGGAAGATGCCTGAAGTTCCTACAAAAGGTCGTAGAAGGAGGAAAAAGATCGCGCAGGTATTGTATATCTGCTCAGTAAGTATCAGGCTCTAAGAGGTTTTTATCTAGGGTGGACCAAAGAAACCAGCAACGTCGTTCGTCATGTTTTCTAACGCTCACAGAGAGGAGGTGAAGGCTGCCAACCCTGGCCTCTCGTTCATCGACGTGGGGAAGAAGCTTGGCGAGATGTGGAGGGAGATGGATCCCACTGTGAGGAAGGAGTGGGAGGATAGGGCCACAGCGGCCAAGGACGAGTATCTGGAAGCGAAGAAGATCTGGCTTGCTCAACGAGCTGCTGGAATGGCTGCAGGTGCAGAGAATCTTGAAGACTAGAAGGCGACTAAAGAGGATTTTGACGAAATCTCTACTGATATGTAACTCTGGAAGATTCCAAGGACTAATGTAATCGTAATTGAATACTTCAATTGATCAATTGCTTTATGATATAAAACACTAATGTGTTGTTGACTGGTTGCTTGAATCAGATAACTGATATTGCAATTTACACACAAATTTGTGATGTGAATGAATAGTTTCAAATGTACAGAAATGTATATCAGAGGCACTTCAGTCTCCATAAAGTCCACTCTGAACAGAACGATGCTCGAGCCAGATCTTCTTCGCTTCCAGATACTCGTCCTTGGCCGCTGTGGCCCTATCCTCCCACTCCTTCCTCACAGTGGGATCCATCTCCCTCCACATCTCGCCGAGCTTCTTCCCCACGTCGATGAACGAGAGGCCAGGGTTGGCAGCCTTCACCTCCTCTCTGTGAGCGTTAGAAAACATGACGAACGACGTTGCTGGTTTCTTTGGGGCTCCCTGGGAAAGCAACTTAGTCTCGTTTCGATGTTCAGTAGATGTGAAAAAATACCTCAGCTTTCGCTTGTTTGTTTTTCCTTCTTCTCTTTGTTTTCCCGCCTGGCATTTCTTTTCCAGCTGGCAGCATGGGAATGGGTGGAGGCATCATGGGCGCATAATATGGGTAAGGAGCAAAATGCGGTGGCTGCATTCCTGGGTAAGCATACATCATAGCTTGAGGAGGGAGCCCCATAGGTGGTTGGTGCGGTGCACCAGGATGTCCAGGCCAGGCCCACATGAATGGAATGTGATGAGACAATCAAAATAATAGAAGATTCGCTCTATTCTGCCCGGCGTTCAAACCCAGGAGGAAGCGAGAAGCGATGGGCGGAGGGCAGATATGTTGAGCTGGCAGTGGGTTCGATCAAAAGTAGGAAGTTGTCAAACAATAGCCCACGATTGGGAATAGGCTCTCGAGCTGGTAAGAGAATCTCCTACCACGCGATGTAGCTCGATTCCAATAACTCAGTTTCAAATTTCCCCAGCCACAGTTAGAGCAAACCAAGTAGGCAGATCAAGTTCCCTCGACCCAGAAAGAGGAGAAGAGAACGGGTCGGAACAGAGAGCACACGAGAACAAGTGAGTGTGGGAGGGGGGAGGAAGGGGCAGGAAGGGGGAGGCAGACAGTAGCACAGGTAGCAAGCGCACGTTCAGAGCACAAGTTTGGCACAGGGTCCGCTGGAGAAGGAAGCCAGAGGGGTACTGTTGGGAAGCGGGTGACCGACATAGGTAGGGTACTAGTTTATGACCCGTGTAAATGACATGAAACAAGGGGGTATAGATCCCAAGAGGTGTTCAGAAGTAGGGGTACTTTCTATTCAAATGGGGTGTGGAAAGCGATAAAGTGCAGGGATATTTTTTCAAGTAGGGTACCCCTTAAAAGGGTGGTGGTGAAGAAGTACCCCTGATATACCCCTGCCCAACCCTGTTTATAAAGGGAATTCATGGGGTGATAGCAACTTGTTCGATCTGCAGAATGGGGGTAGGGGGTGGGGGTGGTATTTGGGGTACTGCAGTTCAGAAGGGAGTATTAAATTATCAGGACCGGTGGGGTGTAAGTTTCTATTTAGATCTTTTTCTTAAGGGTGGGGGTCATTACCGTACCCCAGGGAGGCAGGATGTCAGGTTGTCCTCGTACTGATTTTTAACTTAATTTTGAGTAAAAGTCAGGTGCCCGGGCCAGTCACGGTCAGGGCCCGGCTACCGCGGACGCGGGGTGGCCGCGGCACTGCCGCTGTGCGGCCCGGCCCGGCCCGCCGGGCACGCGGCAGCCGGCAGCGGCCCCCCCGGGGGGCCATCCCGGCGGCGGAGTCCTGGGCCAGTGCAGTGTAGCGCGGCGGCTGCGCCGCTCGCACCGGGCCGGGCTGTCACTGTGTCGGACGGTCCCGGCGATCATGTGATGCGGCCGCCGGGATCGGACTCTGAGGCCCGGCCCCCGGTCCCATCATCGGATTCCACTGAAGTCACAGTGCCGCCGCGCTGGCTCCGACGAACTTCCGGGGGGTTACTAGAATCAGGCCTCGGTGCCTCCGGGGAGCCGTCCGAGGGCCGTCAGTGACTTCAAGTTCGGGGACCGGACTTGAGGTCGCCTGAGGCTGCCGCAGGCTAGTGCCGGGGGTGCTATACGGCACTCGCGGTACCCTACCATAGCACGAGAGCGGAATACAGAGGTGGGTGGGGGGTGGGGGTGATATTATTTCGTTTCTTTTAGAGGAGCCAGGGGTAGGTCCTGTGTTACTCTAAAAGACTGAGTACCGGTCTTTTTGTATGAATCTTGGTATCAAAGGGGGTGGGGTATGTGATCCCATTCAGCGGAGGCATCCGCGGTCTAATGTTAGGGGATGGAAGGGACGAGACACAAGCCATGATGGTTGGAGGACAGAGGAGAGGAAGGGAGCTGCTTGCTTCTTGCTTGTGAGGGGAGGGGGATGGAGAAGGGGGAGAAGGATTGACGGCTGGCACTTGGAGTGAGAGAGGGGAGGAGAGCGGGGGGGAGGGGAGGGGATAGATACAGGGAGACTCAGGGAGACAAGGAGAGCTGTGCGTAAAGCGCTACAAATACTTTGATATCTGAGGTGTACTAATGACTTGTGTTGAATCCTAATCGCCTGTTTCTTAGAGGCATCGTGTGCGAATACTCCATGGCAACGTCTTCAAAATTTTCTCTTCATGGGAAATTTTCGCGTTCGATGGATGTATCTCCCACGCCCTCACCAGGTATTCCAGAATGAACTGTATACATTCATGTGCGGTTGACATTGGGCCTCAGTCGCAACCCCGAGGAATGGAGCATCTCCCCTTTCTCACAATCAGACGCTAGATCACGAGGTTTCGTTCCATCGGTATGTTACGTGTCTGCCTCTCGCAGCAACAAGGCTGAGGTGTTGTGCTAGCTACTTTTCCATGGGAGCGCATGGCCTCGCTAGAAGTTTTTCCAACATGTCAAAGTGAGACACGACAGGATGGTGATCCATTGGTTCATGGTGATTTGAACCTCTCAGATGGCAAGAGTCCTTCGTCTCCATGTGGCTCGCTTCACTGATCCTGCACGTCCATCCTAAGAAGCAGGTGCCAGAGCGTTGCGTGTGCTCACTGCCTGCCACTCACTTGCTCCTCCCTTGTCCTGTCTTCCTCGTGCCTTCCTCACCTCATCCTCCTCCTGCTTCCTGCTGACAGTCTGTTGTTTGTTGGCTTGTCGTGATCTCCACCTTGATCATTCTGATCCATTTGGTTTCACAACAGCCCAGAGCCATCGGATTCCTGATTGCGCGACATGTTCGGGCTGTTGCTCATGTTGTGTTGAAAGCATTGGTTGATAATGCAAGATATCAACGGGAGAAGAGCCATGCTCATGCAAAAGCAAAGAGACACTTTGTTCAGCAGACCAGTAATGATCCGTTGACTCACAATGATCGGCTGACTCTGTGACAAGGTGTTGTTTTCTTCGAAAACTGGATGTCCAAATACAGGACAATGCGGTGATGCGGAATCGGCTCAGGACAGCCGTTTGTCGCTGGCTTCGAGAAGAGCTGCAGACCATCTACGGAGCTTGGAAGGATCAGTGCTTGTTCACGCGGTTGGTAAACGAGCTCCTGTCTCTCCGTCTGACCTGTGCTGCCAACAGTCACTTGGCGTTGGCGTATGATCGCGTGGAGGTGAAAGCGAAGGATTCCAGCATGAGAGGCGCCATGAAGGACTGGATGAGATTTGTCGAGATGCAGGAGATGAAGAGAAAGACCATCACAAGAATCGTGCAAAGGGGGCAGGTGAATCTCGCCAGTTCCAGCTCGACGTGCGATGACGTCATGCCGAATATCAGGAACGACGGGAACTGAAAGTGCTCAACCTCTGGTTTCAAGTGACCGGGTCATTAGCAATCCTCAACCATCTCACAAAGCAAGGAAGAAACCGACATCTCCATGCAGTCAAGAGCTGGGGATTCCAGGTGAGCACCTCACAGACCACACCCGCTGAAAGATGCGTGATGTGTTTGAACAGAGTTGGCAAGCGATTCGACAGAAAGCTCTCAAGGCCATCGCTATGATGGACCGTTCAAACTCCAAATGGAATAGAGAGTTAGTGAGCTATGTGCTCAGAGAGTGGGCCGAGTCCATTCGGTATGCGAGTGTGTTGAGTTTGCGGTGGTCGTTTGATCGCCTTTGGCAGGTCCAAGAAACTTCGCAAGAGCCGATCGTTGTTTTTGATTCACAAGCAGGTCTCACTTGTAGTGATCTCCGACCCTCCTGACTCTCCACCAGAACTTTGCAGTCAAGAAGAAAGCGATTGTCTTCTGGAGCCAAGAATCACACGCCAAGAAAAGATTGAACATGATACACATTATCATCCGATGGAAAGCTGGAAGGACGCTTGTGAAACAGATCTTCAAGGTTTGAATCAGCTGCTTCCCAAAGCTTCGTCTGATTGGTTTGTGCGTCAGCGATTAAGAAGCAATGCTGATGAAGAAAGAGAGAGATTTTCAAGGTACAGGAAAATCGTTGCTAGACAAGTGGTACAGGACCAGAAATCTGCCTTCAGGAATTGGCAATTGCACTACAATGACCTGAAGGTCTGCGCTTTCCTTGCAAGTGAATTTCGCTCACCTTGACATAGCATCTAAACCTCATGCATGACCGCATCCAATCCAAAACTTCTCGCAACACCTACAAAGAATTTCTTCATCTGTGGACCTTCGTCGTCAACAAAACGTCAAAACTCATCAAGTTGCATTCCAAATTATCTTCGAAGAACAAGTATAGGCTTTTAACTGAATTCCTTCGAGAATGGAATGCACAGGTGCGAGCACTGACGCATGTTTCGATCAAACTGAGAGTTAGCAGGCGGTGCTGTCATCGACCAACCGCAATTTATCTCTTGCAAGCTTTCAAAAGGGGCGATTCTTTGGTTCCAAGTCACGTGAACGAGCTTTCAACGCCTGGACAAGCTTGCTGGCATACTTGCGAAGAACCTCTTCGTACACGTGGAGAGTGCTGAGGTATCGAGTGCAGTCAAGGGCTTTCCAGCAATGGTCGCTTACGGCTAAAGTCCTTCACTTTCAAATCTTGAGCTACAACAGGATGATTCAAAGACGCAATGTAACTTCTCCCTCCCTCCCTCACTCCCTCGCT